GCTCTGAGCACAGAGCCATGCCATTCCCTGCCTGCTAAGGAAGGGGACAGCAGTCACACTCGGGGCTGCTGCTCTGAATCACCCGGTGCTTTGCTTGGGGACTTTGCCCAAGGACATTGCTCTGGTCATGGGGGAAAAGCTGATGCAAGGCACTTCCCCAGGACTGTGCCAGGGAAGGACCATGACAGTGGGACATAAACATATGCAAAATAAAGATGATCCAGGTAAGCACAGCCTTAGATGTGTCTTTCTGCCCTGGACTTCGTTAGGACCTTACACGACTATGAAAGAGATGGCTCATCCATTAAAATAATGCTCACATGACTTTGATATCCAGGAGGGGCACCACATCCCTGCTTTTCTGCTTAACAGTAGGATGCCTCAGGGGTCTATGGGACACAGGCTTGGTCCTTCCCAGGTGTATAACCAAGATGTTATAATTGCAATATAATCAAAAGATAAGGCAAAAGCAAACAAGGATCACAAAAGAGAATAAGTAGAAGAGCTTACCCTTGGGTTGAGCTCACTAGAAGATACCAAAAGAGGAGGATCTCCAGAAGAGGTCCTTCCCCTCTGGTAGCCAGCTCTTAAATAGGTCCAGGAGGGGTGGAGCCTGGCTCCACCCCTTCCGGCAGCACAGGTGAATTGCCTTCACCTGTGCTCCTCTGGCTGACTCAAGGCTCACCTCAGGTGATTAATCAGAGGTTCAGGCCGTGACTCAACAGTTCCCATACACCAGGACTTTTTCCAAACTCATTTTTCAAACCTGTCACCAGCGCTTCCAGAACAGGCAGGTGACACAGGGCATTCCAGATGCCAGTTGCTCTCTCATACTCAGGGAAGATGAGCACTGCAGGACGGGGTTTTAATGACCATCATCTCTGGCTGGTGGCTTGCAACTTTTTCTCTATGAGCACAGATGATATGGATGTAGGCAGGGGATTTGCATTCAGTGCCAAGCAACCCCTCAGGACATTTCTTGCAGGATTTACAGCTCTGCAGCTCTTTACAAACTATCTGACAAACAGCTGCCCAGGCAGTGCAGACTCATCCACCACTGGACACTGCTGCTGATCATGTCAGGAGCGTGTATTTGGAAAGAGAGTCAAAGAAGCCTCTCCTTTGGCACTTTCCCAGTTTCTAGAAGCAAGGGCATTTCTTTACTCAAATTTAATGTTCTTCTGTGGAACAGGCAGTACTGCCCATATCCTATCTATGGCTATCTAGTGCACAGAAATCAATAAGATGGTAACTCAGGTGATGATTTCTGCAAGTCAGTGGTGCTTGTGGTGCCTCCCTGCTGTCCTCTGTCTGGATTGTTTCAGCTCATCCCTCTTGGCTTTCCTGGGATGCCGAGCAGAGATACCTGCAAGATACCAGCAGCAATGCAGAGTTCCTCTTTGCAGCACATCTCCCGTTCTGTTTCTTTTCCTGCTTTTAGCTGCACTGATGCATCAGACGCTTGATTTTCCGGTGCAGCATCCGCTGCTGACGCCTACTGGCGGTTTTTGTGCTGGGATCTCTTCAGAAGGGTGTGCTAATTAAGAGATCACATTTCCATCAGAACCTCTCATGCAAAAGCACCTTGGTGTGCTTCATGAATGCTGTAAGAGCATGCTGCAATCAGACCAGCTCTCTTGGAAGGATGCTTAATATCCTGCTGGCAACGGTAGGAACTTTTCCAAACACCACCCCCTGATATTAAGGACATAAATTATTAAACAGCCCAGTGGTGTTGCCCTTGTACAAAGTCAGCACTGAGAAACGACTGACATCCTCCTTGCACATAATTAAACTGAAAACTTAATTGCACTATGGCTGTATGGGACGGGGTTTCCAAACAGATTTGTTGCAGAGTTCAGCATCCCCACTGCCTGCGTTTTCATGACATTTAACATGGGTTTGAATACGTTTCTTTGTGCCCCAGCCCAGTGTGGACCACAGTGCTGTGCTGTGCTTGGTGTCAGCATCAGTGATAAACAAATAGCATTTGTGCTCAACATGTTTTGGAAATAGTGTTTAAATCAACTCTTTTTAGCATGATGCCCGCTGCCCCACCGTGAAGTGGCTTTCATTAGGAACTTGAGATAGCCTGGACTGTTGGCATCCCACCTAGGAGGAGGACCTCAGTGTGGGCACAGCTACGCTCCATCCACCAGCAGTGCCTGAGCTGCATCCCACAAGAGCAGATGCCTGGGGCCAGCCCTCTCCTTTTGCATCAGCCCCATCTCAAGCTGTCATTTGTGCTAAGGCTGGCCTGACTGATGGTTTGACGGTGATAAAAACACATTTGCTTCTGCTGCAATTTTAGCCAGGCTTCTCAAGCCACTTCAGGGTGAAGTGCAATAAATCTCCAGGAAGTTTCTGGCAGGTGGATGACCTTAAATCCCCATCTGTAGTACATACCTGATGCATTCAGAGTGGAGGGGAAGGGCATTTTCTGGGGACAGCCATTTTCCACTCTAGTGTGAGAAAGCAGGTGATGGTTGCATGGAGTAGGGGAGAGCATGCAGTGCAGAGATCAGCAGTCCATTCTCCCTCCTTTCTCCCTACCCTGCTTTATCACATCTCCACTCTTTCAATTGTGGAGAAATTACAGCTAAAACTCCCTCCTCCCCCCCCACTCTGGCTACCTGAAATAACCTTCTGTTTTCATGCAAGCCTCAAAGTATTTTTTACAGCAGTTCTTCCTCCTGCCATTAAATATTTATATGAAAAGCCACATGGTTTTGCTGCAGCAGGATGGTGCAGTGCTGAGAACCTCTGTGAGCCAGATTTAAATAGCAGTGAGCTGGCAGACACTCACAAAGCACCTGGTTTGATTTCTCCCATTCCCCAACCTGCTGCAGTGCTTCCTGGAGTGTCCCCAGTATAACATCCTCACCCCTGCAGCCCAGGTGCTCAGCAAGCGCCCAGTGTGTGACCAACAGAGCTCTGTGGGGAGAGAAGGCAGGCTGAGCTGCTCCTGTGCCCAGATGGGTTGCAGGTAGGTAATGAAACGGAGACCTGGGAATGGACCTGGAAATCAAGTGCTCGAGTGGTCTGATGAGAAGGGAGCTGCGCACGGGTGCCATCCACAGCAGGACAGGAAGCATCAGTGCACTGCTACTAAGGGTCGTCTTCTCTCATACCCCAACACCTTCCTTGCTCTGCTTTATTTTGGGGAGATGAGGATGGTAGAAGGAGGATACTTGTCTCAGTGCTTTGCAGTTGCTGTAGCAACTGTGGTGTCTCTGGCAGCAGGAGCACATGCTTCCTACAGCCAGCATCAGTGTGAGCCTGCTACTTGCATGCAGATATTCTATTCCCTGCTGGGCAAAAAAGCCCCATGCCTGCCCCCCTGCCAGCAGCAATTAGAGACCAGGCTGTGCTGCCGAAGCAGCAGCAGTGGCAAAGGAGAAGTGTGCTGAGCTGGAGGGATGCTGCTGTGCCTGCCATCTCCCAGGCGATCTTCTGAGCATAAGTCAAAGCCTCCTCCAAAGCATCCGCCGCTTCTCTCTGGCTCCTCAGCAAGCAGAACCCTGCCTTACAGCTTCTGCTTTGGGGAAAAAAAATACGATGAGTCTTGATCAAAGCATTCTCAGCAGTAGAGGATCTGCGCAAGCTTTGATGAGTGACTTTCCTGATTAATGACTTCTAAATAATAGAGCTTTGTTCACAGGCTGGATTCACTTAATGTCCGTTTCCAGTCATCTTGTAGGGCTTTGCCTACTCAATTGAAAATCCCATTAATCCCCTGTTCCCACCAGCTTTGTAAATCACAAGCTGTGACCAAATATCCCTTCCTTTCCTTTGGGAAACCAAAGAGACAGAGCTCCTTGGGCCAATCCTCAAAACCATTTGCTCTCAAGGCACCAAAACAAGGCACGTTTGGCCAGGGGTGTGCTCACACAGCTTCTGACGCCTACTAAAGCTGCCCTACTTGTGTGTCTCAGGTCATGGTAGTCCTCTGGCCCCATGCCACCAGACACCTGCATCCCTTCAGAGCCCACCAATCTCTGCTCAGTCCTCTGTATGTGAAGCACCCCATCTCCCTGGCACAGGATTTTAGCCTCAGCTCAAGTAAAGCACACGTTTGCTGGCCTCTCTTCCACACCTAACAATTTACATCAGCTGGTAGAGATGGAGGAGAACAAAGCAAGAAGAGCTTCATAATTTCTCCCCAGCCATTTTGCTTGGGTTAGGTCTATTTTGGTTTTATTTGCAGAATTAAGCCCTGGGCTTTCATAAATGGGGAGACCTGCCTTGCTTTTCCAGAAGGTGCTGATCCAGCCTTTCCACCACTTGCTTTTGGGATGGCCAGAGCAGAAAAGAGCTGCAGGTTAGGCTGGTCTTCATAAAATGGGAAGGCAGAGAGATGCTCCCACCTTAAGGCTGCCCTTGGAAAACTTGCTGGTGGGAATACAGACTTCCTGCCTTCTTCTGGTGCCCTGACAGAAGTGAGCAATGCTCAGGCGGGCCTGTTGTCACTCAGTATAGGGTTTTCCACCTCACTCATTGCTTGATGAGCTGGTTTTCTGGGCTGTAGCTGAAGCTTTATGTCCCCTGGGAAGCTTTCTTTAAGAGCAGGTTTGCAGCTGGGGAATGTTTCACTGCTATTTTCAGCCTGTGATGTTTTCCTTTTTTTTTCTTCAAAACACAAGAACAAAAAAAAGAAAAAGAAAAAGAAAAAAAAAGCAATAAAACAAAACAAAAAACCCCAACACTGTCAACAAGTCACAAAAGAGTGATCTCAGTCTAAAATATGAGTCCTGGCATGGGTTGGTATTTGACTCAGAAGCCACTTCCCATCTTTGGAGACTTGAAGTATGTTCCACTTCGTCATCCTGAAAGTCTTTAAACACTTACTAAAGCAGAGTTTATTTATCCACAGTTAGAACAGCCTATCTATTATCTTGAAGGCTGAATTCAGAAAGTTTTTACAGAAATTTATTGGTCTCATTCCTACCAGTCTGAACAGAAGTTTTCCACTGAGTCTGTCAAGATAGAAATGTCTCAATTCCAATTTCCTTCAGTCTTCAGCAAGACATCACATTAATTGTGTTAAAAAGCACTTTTATTAGTTACTGAGAAAGCAAGAGTCTGGCAACTCCTCTTGACCACTAGCTATTAACTTCTGTGAAGTCTCCTTTAACATTGGTTTGATCCAATGCAGTGGTTTTCTCCACCAGCAAGCTCAGCAGTGGCTGGAGCCAACGGGACTGACTCCAGATGAGGATTATTGGCATCAGGGCTCAAGGGTTCCTATTGCTGCCTGAGTAAATCTTGTCTGCCTCTCTTAAGGCTTGTTTGCATCTCTGTTGTTAGAAAAAAAAAATGCAGAGGCAACTGAGAGCCAATAAATACATACTGAACAATTTCATCTACACTTGTGATGCTTTCAACAGGTCTCAGGCAGCCATCTCATCGCTTGAAGTCGCTTTGTTTCAGTCCAACTCTGTGAAGGGCTACGTTTCAGCCAACAACTCAGCACTGCAAGAATACAGCATCAGCTCTGCAAGGTGAGGGGAAACCTCAGCTCCTCCATCTGACCTTCACAGAGTGCTCTGACGACGCTCCCGCTGGCATTTTGCCACACTGGCACTACGTGGGCACGGACATTTCATGGAGCAAACTCTGATCTGTCTCATATTTGAGGATCTATGTAAGCAACCAGTCAACATGCAGGTGAGCTTTCAGACAGGAGGTGAAGCTGAAATCCCATTCGATCCACTATCACTTCGACCTGAGCTCACCTGAAGAAAATAAACTCTGCCAGGGTTGAGGATGGATATCTGATGCTTCAAATCTTTCAACAGCCTGAAGTCAAAATAGAACTGGAGAGATTCTGGTTGGAAAATATGTTCTCCTGGAGCACATGGGAGGATTTGGAAGCTTTGTATCTACAAAGCAGTGAAAGATCAAGGCCTTGAGCACCAAGGTAGGTCTTCAGAAAGCACAGACCTTCATTTTAGGACTTCATTCAAGATCATAGACTGGAAATGTAATAACTAAGGGCTGAGACAGGCCTGCTCATGGCTTCTGCACAGACTCTTGCAGAGCCAGTGGAAGCATGTGCCGCAGGGAACTCATTTCACATCATTTATTCCGGTTGTGCTTTCAAGCACTGACCCACCCATCATTTCTTCAGACTGGATAGTATGAAGTGTTGAGGCAGGCTGATGACACCTGCTGTTTCCACGTGTCCATGCTTTATAACTGAATTACTCACTGGCTGCACCATGGCTTGCCCTGACTTCTGCCTGGATGAAGAAGAGAACCAGGCTCCTAATTCCCATCATTCAGCCCTCTGGAACTGCCACATCCAGCCCCAAGCACAGCCCTGCCACGTGCCCTTTGCACAGCTGGCAAGAGTCTCAATCAAGGGCCACTAGACCCGCTGTTTACAGGAAGTGCCGGCACAGAGCATGGAATTAGAAAGACCACAAAGAAATGAGGGATTATTTACTGGAGATTAAAGGACGTGGAAAAACCACAGGACAAATCAGTGGGGCCTAAGCAATGGCAGCTGCTATTTCAGTCTCCCAGCTGCTGGCATTTGCACAGGTCACTCCGCAATGTGAGAATCTGGGAGGAATTCAGTGGTATGGCTGATGCTTGCTTTGTTTTTGGGCCAGTAAAATGCGCCAAAGCAGGTCCTAAGCCTGCTGAATAGAGAAGAGGGATATCCACTCCACTTTCTCCCTTCCTCGGCCAGCACCGTGAGTCTTTCTTCCCCTCCAATGCAATTTCTGCTTTTGGGCTGCACACCCAGGCCCAGTTCAGTCCTGCCTACTGGCGTAGCCACAAGGACACATCCATGGATTATTCAAGACAAAGCACCTCCTTAAATCTGGAAACAAATGGGTAGGGGTGAGGTCTGACATCTCAAGACCTTCAAGACAGTGGAGGGAGCATGTGTTTCTTGGTAGGTTTTGAAATATTCAGAGGAGGGAAAACTCCTCGATGAAGGTTAATCCCAATCCAGTTCAGCCCAGTGCCATTTGAGATAATTTCTTCTCCAGGCTTCTGTTTTCATGCACCCGCCCTTTTCCCTATGAACTATAAACCCACCAACACTGTCTCCAGTGGAAAGCGATGCTGGCAGAAGTCACAGCCAAGATGTCCAGAGAACACATGGCTATCACAGGTGACTTCTGCAAAGATGTCCCAGAATAGCTGAAAAGCAATGCAAATGTCACTTCATTTGTTTGAGCAGCCCACCCCCACTGAGATGCTCTCACCACCACTCCTTGGGGTGCATACCTTGAAGGGCGGCAGATGCAAATCAATCCTGTATGGCAGAGTGACATCTCAGCACCCACCCTACAACTCCTCCTGGGTCTTATTGCTAAGGGTCTGAGACTCGAATTGCAAATGTAGATCCACATCCCGAAAGCACAGGGAATTTCTGCAGCTTCAATAGCAGAGACACCCTGTTCAGGTATTTATGAGGCCATTTATTTTTTTGTGAGGTCTGCTTTTCAGCTAAATTAGGCTACCAAGATTTCAGTGGCTGTTTACAAGCTCTGAAATTTGGGGTGTTACTGGATCAGGCCTTGTTACAACAATCCCCACTCCTCCAGGTGCAGATGCACCATGGCTGCCCTCTCAGATACAGAATGGGGACATTACAATACAGGACCCCCTTCCCCAACACGGGGCACTGATTCAGCCCTTTCTCGTTGGGAATGTGACCATGGACTCAAACCCCAGCCCTGCTCCTGTGGTTAGTGTGATGCTGCTGGGAATGACAGTAACACAGTGGTGGCTGGGAGGATGCTCGGTCAGGAGAGCAAGCAGGAGCTCAGCAGGGTTTTCTTTTTTCTTTCTTTTTTTTTTGTTCTGGCTGCAACAAAGAGAGAGAAAGTATGAATGAGCTTATTTTATAGCCTCAAAGGAATACCCAGCCTTTGTTAGCTTGACATATGCTGTCATGGTGAAGAAAATAAAAGCTTATTCTTGCCTGAATGGGCTGGCTGAAAACAAATGACCCCCAAAACCCTCTTATATATCATCATCATCATTTCCATCATCTATGTGCTATGTGCCTATGTGATCTACAACCCAGCCACTTCCAGACCAGGACCTGATCTGTTATTCACAACAGAAGGAAAGCAAAGACCCAGGTTTTCATCATTCTGGGGGAATTTGAAGGGCATTCTACCCCTCAAAGCGCCAGACTGCACCACGTCCCCATTGAAGACGAGGCAGTGGCCATCTCTCTAATGACACTAACACAGGAGTGGCTGGAGTATGTTCTTCTCTCAAGATTTTGCATGTAGAAAATGCTATCACACAGTCCAAAATTTCCATGTGATTTCTAATGGAGGCTTGGACAACTGTGGTGAGCATCTCAGAGCCTGCAGAGTGGCCATGCTGAACAAATAGGACACTGTGGACAACAGCCTCTGGCTCTGGAATAACACACAGTAATGCACTGCCGATTACCGAGTTCAACAGCACTTTCTCTCCTTGGAGGACAGCTCTCAGATGCAAGCCATGCAGAGAAAATAGCCATGCTGCAGCAGCTCAAGTGACTCCGTTTTAACCAGGATGTCCTGTGTTTCTTCTGGGGTGTCAAGTGCCCTGTCTCAGGTGGTGACCCCACTCTGGAGCTGTATTTCTCTTTTCTTTACATCACTTTCTTCTGCCATCAAATCATGTAATTCGCCTTATTATCAAAGGGGCAAAATCAGCTTCAGGAGTTCAGGATCCATGAACCAGAGATCAGAGTCTGCGTGTGGTTCAGTGACACATGAAGGGAATGAAAAATAATGCCATTAATACAAACAGTCCGAACAGACACCACCCACTTCTCCCCTTCCAACTCCCTGATCTCTCCCCTTAGTCCAAAAAAAGCAAAAAAAAGAAAGTATCTGCAAAAAAAAGCTGAGCCAGAGGCAGGTTTCTGCTCCAGGCTCACTCCCAACCTGCATAGGATGGGGCAGCCTGAAGCAGCAACGGATGGGATGGCAAGTGGCCGCAATTGCGTTGCAGGCACCATTTTTTTTTGTTATTCCAATTGAATATATTATGGTGGGAAGTGAAAATGAGATTTGCCCTCATCTTATGGTTCTTTGTAAAAAGTTTTTGACCTTATAAGGGACGAGGGCACTTAAGCCAGAATGGCAAGAACCTCCTCCTGCTGCTTTACCACAGTGCTGCTGTGGGTCACACTTCAGCACCCAGCAGCTTGCAGCAGGGGAGCAGACTGGGGGGAAGAGTTCTCCTCTGACGTTTTCATAGAAACTGGCTCCAGTTGGCTCCTCCTGATGAGTTTTGATTTAAACTGCAGTTATAAGGTGCAATTAGAATCTGGGGTTGCTGTGCCAAGAGCTCAGATGTGAAGCATAACAACAACAACAAAAATCTGTCCTCCAAATCTGTGTTTTCCCAATATTAACTCTTCGTGTGCTGCCACCAGAGGGAAATCCAGGGCCATCCAAGGACAGTCCTGGTGAAAGGTTTGTCAGCACCACTAAATATTAACATTTATGGGCTTGGTCATAACCACAGCTTTGTAAAGAGCTGCTGAGCCTTTCCTAGCACCAAGTGTGAGAGCAGAGGGAAGAGATGCCCTTTCCAAAGTGCTGGTGCTGGTTGGTATGGATGGAATTATCACTGCTTCCATACACTGGGTAAGGAGGCAGATCTTTTCTTAAAATGGTTTGACAAAGTCTCTCCCTCATGTATCTCACTACACTCAATAGTTAATTTTGCAAAGGGAAGCCTTTGGGGACGGCAATGCTGTTCAGACCTTCAGCCCATCTGGATAAAATTGCAATTCAAGGGAATTGCTGGTTCTTTATCTTCAGGCGGCATCATTGCGCAGTTAATTTCAGGTCTTCCAGTAAGCTGTAATGCATCTTTTAGCCTAAGAGCTCTTTTGCATGACACTGAAATAGACCCCAGTCTACATACATCTGCTGCCAAGATAAATGTATGGTTCAGCAGCAGTAAAGAGGATATAAAAGACTCCCACGTTACAAATGTAGGAGGCAGAGGATATTTTAGCATGACAGCGGTTACACTTTTGGCAGTTCTGCTATAATTAACTTTGTTTTCAGAGCCTTAAAATATTCCCTGTGCAGCAAAGACTGACATATCTGCTTTCAGAGGAATTGTTTCAGGGTCTGGGGATGGTGAACGGAGCTTGGGAGCATGGGGAAATGCAAAGAAGATGGAGTTAATGCCCTACATTTATAGGTATTTTCTCACAAAATGCCCCCTGACATGGGCAAGCTTGCCTTCCACCAGATCAGGCTGTCCAGAATCCCATCCAGTTTGGCCTTGGGCAACTCCAGTGTGGCACCCACACTTTCTTTGGGCCTCACCAACCTCCAAGTAAAGCATTTATTCTTAACATCTAACCTAAACCTCACCTCTTTTAGTTTAAAGCCACTCCCCCTTGAAGGCCTTGATGACGTCTCCCCAGAGCTTTCTCTTCTCCAGGCTGAACACCCTCAGCTCTCCCAGCTTATCTTCACAGGAGAGGTGCTCCAGCCCTCTGAGCATCCTTGTGGTCCAACAGCTCCACATCCTTCTTGTCCTGGGGACCCCAGGCCTGGACGCAGTGCTCCAGATGGGGCCTCATGAGAGCAGAGCAGAGGTAGACAATCCCCTCCCTGCCCTGCTGCCACCCCTCTGTTGATGCAGCCCAGGATGCAGTTGACCTTCTGGACTGCAAGAGCACACTGTTGCCTCACATCCAGCTTTTAGTCTACCAGGATCCCCAGGTCCTTCTCCACAGGCTTGCTCTCAAGGACTTCTTTTCCCAGTCTGCATGTGTATCTGTGATTGCCCCAACCCAAGTGCAACACCTTGCACTTGGCTTTGTTGAGCCTCATTAGGTTCTCATGTGCCTGCTTCCCAAACCTGTCCAGGTCCTTCTGAATGGCACATCTTCCTTCTATTGTGTCAAATGCAACACTCAGCTTGATGTCATCAGCAACCTTGCTCATGTACACTCGATCTCACTGTCTGTGTCATCGATGGAGATGTTGAAGAGCACTGGTCTCAAAACAGAATCCTGGAGGACACCACTTGTCACTGGCCTCCATGTGGACATCAAGCCATTGACCACAACCCTCTAGATGTGACCATCCAACAAACTAACCACTGAATAATAAAAAAATCTTTAACATTCTCACCCAAATACAGTATGCAAGAGCTTTGCTGGCTGCACCTGGCTTGGTTGAAGATGAGATGTCTAAGCACAACACAGCAGCCATTCTGGTAATGTATCTCCCCCATCAGAACAAGAGGAAGGATGGGTAACAAGGAATAATCTGGTTGGGGGAAGGCACTGATGCTGCAGAGCTGGATGAGGGGCATTGTCTGTACCAACAAGCACAGACCTGGGTTGAGCAAACTGGATCGAAAGTAAAATGTTTTCAAGAGTGGGCCAGAACTAGAGAGGAACATTTGCTGAAGACTTTCAGAGAGCTGGAGGACTTTGGCTCCCATGTTTCTCATGCCATCTTGAACTCAAATGACTGACACAGGCACCAGGGTTGGTCAGAGGAGAGTGGTGTGCACCCAGCTCTCCCTATTATCTCCTTTGAGGCCAGCACTGCCATCATTCAGAGCTGGTGTACAATGCTGGGCTCTGGTCTTCTCCAGAACATCACACTGGGAAACACAGGCAGCTGGCTGGGAGGCAGTTTGTGCCACAGAGGTACTTATAGAGGTAATTAGTGGTGATGAATCAAACTTAATGCACTCTAGGGTGTCAGGAGTAGCAGTGAAAGCCTTGATCTAGGGACAGCATCATGTGTCAGGCTGCTGCCTGGCCCAACCTTCTCTCTGTGCTCTCCTGAGGCAAGGAGGGGCTGTCCTCTGTGCCCCTGAATGCCATCACTGTAGTGCACACACGTTCTACCCATGATCACCATTTCCCCCTTTGCTCTGGCAGCTGAGCCCAAGAAAAAAGGATTGCTCTGAAATGTCAGGAGAGGTTTCCAGGTTTGGTTTCAGAATTTTTCATCCACTTTTGCCGTGACTCTTAACGGACATGTTCTAACCACAGGCACTGCATGCTGCTTGCACAAAGTGCACGCAGAAAGATTGGCTCTAAAAATGTCTTGTGACTCAGTGTGCTCCCCTCTGAAGGCTCTTGGCCATACCCCGAGTGCTTGAGGGCTGCCATATTTGCTCTTGGCCCACTAAAAGGGACACAGGTATCATCAGGGAATCACCTCAGGGCCTGACATTTTGATGAGTTAACTTGTTAGCAAGGCTTTTGCAAGACCCTTGCCTAAACTGGGAGCCAATGTAGAGGAGCGGGAGCGAAGTGGTTTCCTGCTGCCTCTGCCCTTTCTCCTCACCCGCAACAGCAAGGGGTGAAGTCGCTGTGCCTGCTCAGATCAGTCTGATCCATCGATTAGTGTGGGTAGGATAGATGAGCTAGGTCTGAATAGCAAAACCTTGCATGAACCAAGAAAATTTGGAGAAATAGCCCAGGATATGGACTTAGCATTAAACCCAAAAGGAACTTTGGCCAACGTCCTGCAGCAGGACTTCATGTGTCAGACCCAGTCTGGAACCCTACACATTTCTGAGGGTATGGAGAGCCAAATTTAACAACAGGGAATCCAAACCACGTGTCTTCGTGACGCTACGTCCGTATGTATGGGCCCAGAAATCCAGCCCTGGTCCAGTGAGAAAAATACTTATTATCATCTAGACTCATTCGAAAAGCTGCTTGTGCTGAACTTGGACGGGGTCTCATATCAAGGATTTGCAGAGCATGTGACAGTATTACAGTTTCACGTTAATCTGTCCTCGTTGTGTGCTATGAAAAACAAGTCAAAACCCCCGCTTCCTAATCCCCAGGTTACTAACTGTGGGAAAACCATGTTGGCCACAGCCTTAGCAAGTGCTTAGAAGTGTCATGCTTTTGTATTTATTGCATAGCACGTTGTTCCTAACCTGAGTACCTGGAGCAGGCACCCCAGGCAGCAGGATACCAACACCCACTCCTCATTACTGGGGTGGATACCTCAGCAGCACAGCTCACCTCACCTCACCTTGGCCGTGGAGCACAGCAAATCCTTGTGCAATGAAACCAGGCAGCAGGAATGAACCCGATCCATAATTGCTCCGAGCAGACCACAAAGCAGCTCCGGCCGGTGGAAGTATCCACTCAGAGGTAATAACCTGCTGAGTAACAGTGATGGCAGCAGATCCGTGATAAAAGGCAGGGAATAAAAGAAAAAGCTCTCTCCATTATACAAAGAACGGATGCTTTCTGTTTGCTTCCTTTGCATTTAGCTTTCTGAAGGGAGGCCGAGGACAGATCAGCAGCGCATGCAGAAAAAGCAGAAGCATTGTTTTCCATGAGTGAGATCATAGGCAGGGAAATTATTGTCTCCTTTTAATCTTTGCTGGATTTCTACCCAGCCCCTCTCTTCAAGAGTCATGTCTGCATACAGGTGGTGAAAATCCCGCTCTGCGGAGCCTGGAATTGCTGCCTCCAGTCCCTGTTGCCTCTGGGCAGAGAGAGAACGTGGGGCAAAGCCAGGTTCTGGTTAGGACCATGCTCCTCGGTGTCCATCTGAGACCTCTGCAATGGCCTCTCCAATCAGACACCTGGCAGCTCTGACGTGGCTGAGGAGGGGAGATGCTCCTAAAGCACCTTTCTGTCCTTCCTAGAGACACAGCAGAAAGAAGAAAAGCCTCCATGTTTGCAGTTTTGATGCAATCCCCCTCCTTGTGCTCCCACGAGGAGGATGTGAATTGAACAAATTGCAAAGTAGAGCAAAGAGAAACCACAGGAACAACACTGCCACCAGGATTGTAGTGGGATTGAAGGGCCCAGGTGACTGGCTAGGCACACCACAGACCATGCCCTGGCCACACCAGCATCTGCCCTGCAAAATGCCTGAGCCTGAGCTTCGGGATGGCCATCTGCAGCCACGAGGTTGTGCACTGGAGACAGGCTCTGCAGGACTATAGGGGCTCAGCACTGCTCATTAAAGTGCCAGGGAAATGTGAATGAAGCAGATGAATGGATGAATGAATGAAGAGAGGAAGGATGAGTGAATGAATATTGCACAGAGCTGTGCCTTTCATCCCGGGAGTGCAGAGCTGCGGCTCAGCTGCTGTGCAGGAGCTGTATCTGTGCTCCCTGTCAGATGGTTTTCCAGGACTGTCAGCAGAGCCCTTCTGGAGGAAGCAAACATGGAGATGCGGCTTATGGACTCTCATTATTTGGAGCATAATGCTTCCCCTAACTAAATCCCCCTGATCCCCACATCATCAGAGGGACAACTCATTACTTTTGGAGTTGTTCTCACTCTCACTCTTCCGAACACTAACCAGTTCCTATGGCAATGGCATCCCAACCCTTTTCCAACCCCTGCCATCTTCTGTCAAGTCACGCTGCTGCAGAGCTGGGAGTGGCAGGCAGCAGGGACACCATGGTGCATTTTGGCACCAGCAAGGTTAAAGGCCTCCTGACAGCACAGCTTGCAACCAAATGCAGCACAGGGCATGCAGGCAGCCGTGGGGATTGTTAAAGATATTCAGGGCACGTTGAACTGAGATATTGTTTCCTGGATGTTTTATTGTGCTAAAGGCAACATGCAATGGGCTGACCCCAATGGCTGGTGTGAATGCGAGCAGAGCCACTGGCAGGGTGCTACTGGTCCTTTCTGACCTGCCCAGCTCCTGCAGAAAGCAGCTTCTCCTGCAAAGAGCCAGGAAGACAGAGAGATGCATCAACTGCCAGAGTGGGAGCTCAGGGCATCTCCCCACATCCTCCAGGAACCGTGTCTGGGTCTGGCTGCTCTCCCAGTGCATTCCCTTTGGCTTCAAACACAGACTTTACCCTGGCTCAAAGGACTTTGCTGCCAGTGGCCTGCAGTCATGCCTTATCCCACCAGTGTTTTTCACAAGCTGCCTTGAATTTCATGGTAACCCCGCAGAGGTATTGGCTTACAGCAAACACAAGCACCGCCCTGGATGAAGCATTCTGCTTGTCTTATCCAAATATTAACAAGCACCAAATGTAAGATGTGGGGCTTGCCTCCCACTCATCTGCAGACAATCTGGCCATGGGTTTTGCTGCTTGCAGGGCTGTACTTAAAGATATCCAGCTGAAGACAGGCAGAGAAGAGAGCTTTAATCCTGGGGATCACATAGGGGCACAACCCCTGTGTGGGGATAACTCAGTTTTGGGGTTGCTACACTGGGATGGGTGACCCTGGTGTCACTGAACCTAGAATGCTTTGGGGGATGGGAATGTTTCCCTCAGTGCTGGGTGATGCTCTGGGGCAGGAGCAGAGCTGTGGTGCCCCTCTTTTTCTTCCATGTCCACCAGTGCACTGCAGAGCCAGCCCAGGAGCAGTGCTGCCTCCACCCTGGCTGGGACAAGGAGGTGGGGTAAAAAAAGAAAAGACTGAGACTTACCTCTGTGTTTTCTCCTGCCGGCCACATCACTTTCCTCCAGTCTCATCATTCTCTTTCCCTTCAATCAAGGCCAATTTGCAAGAGGAGCAGCTTCCAGAGCCTGAGTGTAAAAGCCTTTAATTACTGTTATCTGGAAGGCTATGCCAAGCTCTCCTCTGGTGCCTTTTTCATACTTTCTTGAAGACAGTGCTCCAGGACCTGACAACCCCAACATGCTATTTGTCAAATTTGATTTTAAATCAGCACTCAGTTTAAAATGTAGCTTGTGAGGAGCAGCTTGCCGTGCAGAAACCCTGACAGCTGCATCTTTCCTTCTGCTTGTCAGCTGGACTTACATCACACATTCAACCAGCAGCAGAGGCGAGTGCAGCACTCAGGAAAGGACAGAGCACATTCAGAGAGACCAGGCTGACTGCTGTGCTGTGCACTGGCAGGAGAACATCCATCTGTCCTGCACAAGTCCTCAGCCCTCCCCTGCTGGGAGCATGCTCTCCATGGGGCTGCACGCTTAATAATGTGCAGTGGGGCATTCAGAATCAGCCACGGTTTGTATTTTCTCCTGCTTGGAAGAATATTAACACAGCCTCCTATGCAGATCGAGCCCTGCATTTGGTGTGCTCAGCACAGCAAGGACGAGAAGGAGGCTCATCACCCGCCCTACCACTCCGCAGGCAGGACGCAGCACTGCACCATTTGATTGTCCTTAAACACAGCCTGAGCCAACATCTGGCACGCTGCAGACCCAACGACTTTGCTGTGTGGGCTCAGCAGACACTGAGACACACCAGAACGGATTCCAAAACGCTTCCAGATGGCCCGGGACAGCACACGTGGGATCCGTTCTATGAATGATGCCCACCAGAGCTACCCCTCTAATATTTCATCATTGGAACATCAGATGCGGAGGAGCAGAGCTGCAGAAGAGGGTTTGTGGGAGCCCCTGCCAGTGGGTGGCACTGTAAAACCAGCGGTACGGAGCTGGAGGAGCTGCGCAGGCTGCACGAGTCTGCTTGCACAGCTTCGGCAACTCAGGGCATTGGCACCGGGAATTGGTCCCCGTGGGGACACAGAAGATGCTGACTGGCAGAGAGGGGGCTGCAAAGCCTCATGTCCGAGCTGCCCACCTTCATGCTTACAGAAGCACCTCGCTACAGCCCCTTCCTGAGTGGAGAAGAGCCCTTCTGCCATAGATGGATCTGATCTTTGCCTCGCGCTGAGCACTTGGTAATTACAGTACCTCCCACTTAATTGGATTGTGCTTAATTGGGAAATCCACTTACCAGGATGTCACCTAGGGAAACAATTTAAGCTTGAAAACACTTAAGAGAGATGCCTGCTGCTTTACAGGGAAGGTAATTCTCCTGCAGGGAGATGCTTTCAGGTGGCTGAATCTCACTCCCTCTCCCACCAGAATCCAGTGCTCCTGCCTGCTTGCTCACGTAACAGATTTCAGCCTTCTCCTTATGTAGGTTATGGTCAGGGATGGCCCCAGCTGCTGCAACCAGATTGCTGCTGCCACCTGCACACCCAGCATGTTCACCCCTTTCCTGGCTCAACAGATGGCTTTCCTTTTGCAGCCAGGATCTTTTTGATAAGGATGACAGGCTTGACCGAGGTGCTTCTCCCAGCCACCACACAAAGTGGAATGAGGCAAGAGCTCTGGAGAGAACCGACATCCCTCACCATTACTCCTAATGCCAGTCTTCCTCCCATGTCTCTCTGACAATCCAATACATCAATAACCAAGTGGAGGGGGGAAGGGGAAATGGAAAGAGATGTTAAAAACAAAATGTTCAGTTAAACACGTAGGGATGCATGGTTTCCTATGAGAAGAAGGTCTACATGACCACACCAAGTATTTGTGTGTGCACATGAACATCTGATAGATCCTGCTGACATTTGCTGAACCTGTCGACCACGTTTGGACAGAGAAGTGGCTTTTTTGAAGACAAAATATTCCCATATCTTTTGTAATAATTGCCAGGCAGAGAGACCCTGTTAATCCCCAACCCCTCTGTAGCTCTCAGGGACACAGGGCCATACTTTCACAAGCCAAACCCCACAAACCACATTCCCTTGTTTACAGAGGGAAGCAGATTGCTCCAGGACCATCACTTCTCCAGGATTTTGGCATCTCCTTGCTTATCCCTTCCTCTATAATCTGACTACTTGCTGTTTTTTCTTTTAACTGGGTGAAAGCGTTTCTGCTCTCTCCTCTTCAAAAGGCACACCCTTGGATGGAGGCTGCGTTTGCTACCTAAACATCTGTGTTGTGTGCCAGCAATACAGCAAAACTCGTTGAGATGCTGCGTCGATGTTTTTGTTCTGCTCAGCCACTAGGAGCTGAGGGGAGCTGAGCTGAATGCTCTGGATCTGTAACAGTGATTGTGAGCAGGCTGAGAGAAAGCATGGGGAACTCCTGTAGCATCATTTGCCTTTCAGACACTAGAAAATGCGATAGCTTGGCATCAAATGAAGGATTTTTATGGCTGCACATGTTTCGAGTTTCCCTGAACAAGCCAGCTTCTACACTAGCTACACTTGTTTCTTTTTAAGTGCTATAAAATATGCAGAGGCACTTGTTATGTATAGCGATGGTAGAAATGAGAGGTAAGTGCTGAAATGCTTCTCCATTTATTCCTTTCTTCTCCCAGGCTGTGCTGGGCGGACGCAATACTCTGCTCCCTTTTAAGCTTCTCAGTCTCACAGCCCTCGGTGCTCTGCAGTCAGGTTCAGACCAGCACCTCTGCAATGGAAAATGAGGATTTATGAACTCGGGGTTTTTAGTACCATGCATGTTCAAACCCATCCATGCCTGCAGAGCAACTGCAGCTCTCTGCTGCCAGTATGAACAGGTAAATCCATGCAGGCTGTGTCCTACACCCACTGTACATATGTAAAGCATATTGTGCAACGAGGGGGAGGGTCATCAGACATTTGTAACAGCCCCAGACATCTTCAGATGTAAAAGGAATAATTATCTTTAGAGCTGTTTACGTGATGCAGATTCGGTGTGCTTTTTTTGGTATAAGTTAAGCATAATTGTTTAACAACTGTCAATGGCACTCTTTCCAACCTGCAAAACAAACCATGGCATCCTGAAAGCTTTTTCGCACAATCATGGTTTATGTGAAGATGGTTTTTAAGGCTTCCAGTGCCAAGGGCTCCTTTGCTCAGCATCCACTACATCAGCAGCTCCCACTGAGTGCTGCCTGCCTCATCCTTGGGGCAAGGAGAAGGCACATGAGAGCTGTGGCTCTCCTGGTGAAGCCCTGGGACCCGAGCATCTGTCACTTGTTTTTGAAAAGGCTGGGATAACAAATTCTGTGTTTTCCAGCTACTGGCAGAATACCAAACAGTTAAGTCCTTACTTTATTATCACCCCCCCAGCAGCCACCAGGCACTGAAACAATGGTGAATGGAAACAGAGCTTGTTTGTGCTGCAAGTGAGGACAACGGTTTGGAAACCTGACTGGCACAACCGGGTTGATGCAGGGGTGGGGGCAGCCGGAGAGCAGTGCAGCTTTAGGCACTCCAGGAGCTCACATTTAATTAAAACAGGGAGGAGTTTGTCTCGGCAAGTTGTGAGACATTTACTTCCCAGCGTGACTAAGCCACCGTGTGTTATCTAACCCCTCCACAGGGATTTGCTGCCAGCTAACCACGTTCCTGCAGTCCAGGTGGGCTCATTGAATCTGGTTTGGTGCTTTGGGGCAAGCCTGCTTGCCAGCCTACCTGCACCTCCACAATCCCAATCAGCCTTGCTAGCAACAAGGCAACCCAGTGGGAGTTTTAATTGCAAAGGAGTATTCAAAAATCCTGACAAAATCCAAGGGTTCAACCAGAATGACAGGTTTTTATGGTTTTCTGCATCTCTCTATTTCCAGCAATACAAACAAAATCCTTCTCTTGCAAAGAAGCAGTGCTTCAACCCGGGGGCTCCCCACAGCTGAGAGCTGTCCTTAACTGCGGTAGGAAAGTCCTGGTGCTGGCTTTTCTTGCAGTAGTGATGCAAACATTGAGACAAATTTCTCCATAAATAGCTCGTTGCACACAATTCTTTTATTGTCTCAGCTTCCAGCTGAAGACAAGGAAGTTGTTCTGGCAGGAGCTGCACGTGTTGTAGCAAAAAGATGCTGCTCAGGGGGTGTGACTGAGCTACAACCCTCGGGCTTTCTGAACTGCTCCCCTCACCCTGCAGCTCTCCCTGCCCCAACGAAGGGCAGCTAAGCTCAGAGGTCCGGATTCCAATTCCTTTTCCCACTTGTATTCCTGGGTTGAGAATTCTTTTTTTCCTTACTTTTCCAGCCCAGTATGACTCACAAGCTGGGCTCACCCCAGCTGCCCGGCCCATTTCTGCATCTATGCTGGGTTTGGCTCATTTGTGGAAGCATCGGTGTGGCATGAGGGAGTAAGAAAACAGCCAGATCCTGGTGGCACTTCTGGAGGCTGTGGCTCATTCGCAGCCCCTGAGAACCCCAGGACCCCCCCCCAGCCCCAGTGCTGCTCCACACACCTCCATGGCTGATATTCTTGCTGTTGTGTGCTTTCACATGGATTTGGTGGCAGCCGAACAAACTGTTGCAGGCACATGGACACCATTCCTGGAGCAGGGAGACTCCTGGAGGATGGGCAGAAGCCGCTCATCTGGAAACGGAGTTAATTTGTAAAGGGAAATCCTGCTTGCTTTTCTAAATGAGGAAGATGTCAACGAAGTGCTACTCCAGCCAAGTGCACCAGCAGTACCAAATATACTGCTGAAAGAAAAGCGTTCGCTGTGTCAAAATGAAGCTGTGGTTCACTAAGCTAATAGGGAGAAAGCACACTGTAAATATATGGAGGAAGCGCATGCATGGCTTATTAATAGGCACTTGCTGGGGACTGCAGGCTGCATGACAAGGCTCTCGCTGTGCTCCAGTGTCCTCGTGTGCCCCTGCTCCTGTGCTGAGCACCAATCTCTGCCATGCCACGGCACCCATCGGAACTGGCGGCTTTCAGGTGGCACCTGGGGCACAGAAAATGGTCTTTGTGTGGCTGATATTGGTGCCTCTGCCTGCGAGGCAGCCCTCCATCCATCCACAGCTGGTGGGAAAAGCATCATACAGAAGGAGCTCATGCCCCTTCTGCTGTTCTAGCACGGTCTGAACTCTGAGTGGAGCAGGAATCAATGTAGTTAGCTTTATGCCCTGGCTCAGCCGTTCCCCAAACAGCTGCACAGACTTCTCTCCTATGCTTCTGCTGCTGAAATGGCTCCAGAGTTTTCCACCAAAAGCAGCTCCCACTTATTTAAAGCTATCATAAACTGGGCCAGGTGTGTGCATTCCTACACAGCAAAGCCTTGCCCAGCACAAGGTGTTCTGAGTTCTTCCACCATGAAAGCTGCAACAGGAAAATGAACACCCTGGTTAAGGAACAGTATCCAGTCACTATTGCACTGTAGGCTTCTAAGCACCTTCACACATCGGATTGTTGTTTTTTTTTTAGGCCATTGGGCTCTGGCTCAATGCCTGAAGTCCACAGGTGCACACAGATGCTAATGCTGTCTGCTAACCGATAGCTAACACACACTTTCTCCAGCCTATGATTGTCCCAAGGCTCACCTGTCCCCAACAAGCACCTCAGGGCTGTGTGGGCCAGCTGTCCCTCAGTGCAAACAACCTGCGCCAAGCAGGGTGCCAGTGCCACAGCGAGGCCACAAGCATCCTCTTGTGCAATGCATAGTGTCAGCAGTAACACAGAGCACTTGACCACAAAGCCCCAAGACATGCTTAATAGCTCTCTTGTGCTGTTTGCCCACTAATAACCTTAACTTCTTACTGCATTATGCTAGGGTTTAGGCAAAGCGGGGCTCCCAGCAGGACACTCTACAGACTTCCTTTCCCATGAAAAGAGACTTACGTCTTTGCATTTGTTCCTTGAGCAAATCCCATTCTTTTCCAGGTAGAGAAGAGAGGAATTTGTTGGATTATAATTAAAGAGGTGTTGTTCTGATCAGGAAAGGGGCAGGAAGATTAATGCAGTATGTGACTGTGGTGCAGAAGGAAAAGGTGCTGTAATGGGAAAAGCCTTGTGAGAGGAGTCCTTTTCAACCCGGGCCATTCTATGATTCTATGATTCCCTGCACAGCACACGCCATATGGGAGCTTACTTTGCTTGGAGTTGGACAATGGAGCTGTGCAGTTCCTCTCTTACATTATAGTGATGCTCAGCAAAGGAGAGTGGCTACAGGGAAGGGATACGTGCAGTACTTGCATTAGGATGCCCCACATACCCAAGCATCAGGAAGGAGCTGCTGACAGACCTCACAGTGCTCATATATAGAATGAAACATAAATATCTGCCAATACATAATAAAACTCTTCCCAGGGCTCCAGCACCATTCTCTTCAGAGCCCCAAAGAACTGCACAAACAGTAATTCAGAATTCCCAGCCCCTAGCTTTGCCAGCAGTGCAGAGTGGGAAAACAAGCCTTGCTTGATTAACAGACAACACACCTTCAGCAATGGGAGAGATCGATGATGAGATGTAAGCTGCAGTGTGAACCCTGGCCCCTCACTTCCAACAGAAGTTTCTTCAAGCCAAGACTGAGCAGGTGGTCCCTTCCCCTTCATGCAGACCACCCCTCTCTCGCTGTACACACAGGCAACAGAAGACCAACACACCCAGTTCATCTATTCAGTCCCAATGGCTGCAATCCAAATTGTTGGACAGGGATGGGGGCTGCAGGTAAGTGGGGAGCCCAGCATCACAGCAGACTATCCAGGAATCCCTGGAGAAAAGCCATGCATGAATCAAGACTTCTATCAAGACCTTGGCCCATGTTGCAGCCAAGATTACATATCCATTACTGGGAACAAATCACTTGTTCTGCAGGAGGAATTTCAGTGTTGTAAAACCTTATACAGTCTCTCTGCAGAGCATGAGTAACACTTTGAGCATATCAGGGAGCTACTTCTCTTCAAAGACTGTCTAAAAAAGCAGTATTTAACCTAATGCACTCAGGTATGGCTCAGATTCTTTGCAACTCTCTTTAGTCACAATGCTTCAACTGATGATCTGCGTTTTTTCCCAGGATGAAAAGTGCTCTAAAAGAAAAAGGTCTATGCACTTGCTTTTTTACCTGCCCATCAATGCCTGCTGGGAGGATTACAATGGCACGTCAAATTAGGGTCAGCACACAAGAATTCAGCACACATCAGCTTTAAGCATCTGCACAGGACTGAGCTCAGGCTGATGCAAAAGCTACAGGCAAAAGCCAGCAAGGTTTGCTTTCAAATAGATTGAGGCAGCTTTGCAAATGATCAGCACTTCACTGATGTGACCCACTGCTTCCCAGCACAATCTGAAGTCACATTGCTGGAGCCCGTGCCTTGGTGGAGTCACACGCACCACGGTGTCCTGGTGTGCTCAGCTAGGATGGGGATGCTGAGTTTGGGAGATGACATCTGCCATGCTGAGCCCTGACACTTTACCTGATGTCACCCAGCAGGACAGTGGCAAACTCTGGAATACAGCCCTGCTATAATCACGAACAAAAGAACAGGAATCAACAGCAATTGAAAATGAACTTAAAAGAGCTGCTCTTCTCTTCAACTAGCATGCGTATCTGCAAGGACATATGGTAAACACACCTTCTCCAACCTGAGTGCTGGGTGAACGCAGTGAACTCTGCAGTAACACTTGTCACACACATGTGAGCACACTCAATGTTTTTCACCTTGTTGTTGGGGGGGCTCTAGCCATTAAAAGCCATTCTGCTGATCTAAGAAACGCATGAAACAGGTTGCGCTCAGGCAGTGGGACTCTGGCAAAGCATTTTCCTATTTGCCTGTCTCTCAGCACAAGGTTGAACACGTGCTGATATGCTGTGATGTCCCGATCTGTGGCTTGGTATCACCACAACGTCAGAGGCCAGCAGCCAAGGATGAAGGGCAGGCCAGGCCACAACAGTCACAGCAGCACTGTGTGACACAGCTGTGGGATCAACATGGCCACAGTGCTGCTGCCATCAATGAAGTGATGTTTTCATTCTGGTGGACAGCCATTGAAGAGCCAGCTGTGTTGCTTCCAACAGAAGGTTTTGATGGAGCCCTTGGACTTCGCTCCTTACCTTACTCTCTTAAAATCACAACATCATCTTTGTTGGAGAAAACCTTCAAGACCATCAAGACCAGCCATCAAGCAACCTTCGAAGTGTCATCATTAAACCACGTTCCTTGGTTCTTAACCCCTTTCACTTTACTATCCCTGCCTCCTAACAGCTCGGTGAATGCTTTAGGACCCTCTGTGAGGAAAAACAAAATTCAACACAAAATCACATTTTTCCTTTAGGAAATTGGATCTATTCCTGCTCTCTTGCCACTGCTTTCAAAGCAGTGATGCCAGAGCCCTGGCCTGCAGTAGGACATCCGAGGGACACACAGCAGGCTGTCTGGACATCTGGAAAACCCAGCAAAGCTGCTGGATGTGCAGAGATCCCGCTGTAGAGGGAAGGGGAAGACAACCCAAATCTCAGACTCCCCCACATTTGTGCCAGCAACATCTGTGGTCTCCTGGTCCTGCGAGCATCCCCACAGTCTCCAAGCAGCTGGGGAAGTGCTTATGGAGCTGGCAGTCTTGCAGGGAGGGTAATTTACTTGTTCTTAATGGATTTTCCATACCTCTTGATATTTCCAGACCTTAGTCGGAAGAGAGGAGCAGTAACTCTGCTGGGGGACAGGAGGGCTTGAAGGGCTTTGCTGAAGCCTGTGGTTTTTGCAGTTTAGCACTGGGGACCAGCTCCATTTGTCCGTTCATCACTGCAGTCTGTTCCCCAAAGAAAAGAGGGAAACGTGCTGGTTTGGACTTTCTGTGCTTCATGTTTGAAAGGGATTCTCTTCTGTAAAGCGAAAAGAGAGACCTGGAAACCTGCTGATTCCATTATACTTTCCTGGGGCTAATTTAACTGTTGGAAATCGATGCAACCATGAAAAAGGCAGCCTGTGGGACTCTGTCAGAACACCTGATTCCTACTAAAGATCCAGGAATTATGGGGAGTTAAGTAATGGCATGGCAACAGGAAAAGCTCCCTGAAGATGATGTGACTTCAGAATCGTTTCTCTGCAACTGGGACCTCCTTCCCACCCAGGAGGTTTGGTGGAGGCTGGGAAGTGGAAGCTGAGCGTGGGCTGCTTCGCTCCCTGTTCATCACCTTTCCAGGACTCTGAGCCAAAACAAGTCTAAGCTAAAAATATAAAAATCCTCCAGGCCAAATTGGTGCTCTTTCTCTATTCCTGCTTTATCCTGAATAGTTATTTCCTATGAAGATGTGCTACCAGGACAATCCTTGTCAGAGCCATCTGCAGTGTTCTCAGCGAGGCCTCACCGCCTGTTGCAGCCCATCAAAGCAGCCTCACCACCACCTTCATCTCACCTGCAGCAGGAGGCAGGACCTTGCAGGACACGGTGTCTGAACACGCATTGCTCCAGGAGCACCAGCAGTCAGCTGCATGGGAAGTGGTTTCACAGGGTAAGGCAGCTGCTGGCTACTGCTGCCAGGAGGGCAGGTGGTGCTGGGATGTCTGCATGAATGGGCAGTGGAGACATGGGAAGGAAAGTTTCCTTTGGGTCATGTCTCTGCTCTCACTCAACCTGCACCTTGAATGTTCATCTCCTCCCTCAGTCAATGTCCCATCACAGAAAACACTAATTGCATCCTCCTCCTATGATAAACCAACAAACAGAGAGACTGGACTGGGGGCAAGGGACTTCCCTGCAGCCCCTGAGGGTCCCCTGTAAGAATAATGCACACAAATCCTGGCAGTTCCTGTGTGTTGAGCAGAGACTAAATGGGCAGCGGGGTTTTAGCAGATGCTGGCCAGAAAATAACCGTGAGAAAGGAATAAACCAATTAATTGCTGACCCACTGACAGCCAGCACCTCTCCCCCACCGTCGCCCACACAATAAAACCTGTCTCCAAGGCTCAAGCCGATTTAGGGTGACTGCGAAGAACCTGGAGGAGGAAAAAAGCTCTTTCTCACTCCAGCTAATAATATTTCCAGATAATCTGTTCAAGGCAGCACCCTTTGCAAAGTGGGAAAGCTTTTAAGAGCCGTTAACACCTTCCTTCAGACTTCCTCATCCTCCCCCAGACAAGCTGTGATTAATTACCCAATCCACCTTGATCCCCCTGGGAAACCGTGGTGGCTCTGGGTGTTTCAGGCAGATCTGCCAGGCACACAGAGTCCCTCTCTGGCTAAGCAGGGGATGAACGGCTTCCAACCGCATGCTTACATTGGCAGGGTGGTGGATGGCAGGACGAAAGGTTAACAGAGGTCTGGGCAGCATTCGAGGCTTCTTTGCCTGGCTTCTACAGGGCTCTCATCGTCATCTTCTTACACCTGAAATAATGCATGAGACATTTTCAAATAAGGTGCCAAAGAGAGAATGAAGAGGAAGAGAATGTCTGCCAGATGGTATAAGAGGACTTGGGAGTCATCTCCCCCAGGAGCTTCCCAGCCCCGGGTGTTGGTTAGCATCACACCTACACACTGCACTGTGGGCTGGGCTCAATTTTAATCTGCTTTTTATTTTTAGCTGTGATTTCAAGAAAGGGAAAAAAAACACCCATGAATCTCTTGCAGCTTCCTCAGGCCTTTGAGGAATAAGAGAGCTGAGGAGCAAGCAGGGCATTAATGACATCTCAAGGCAACAACTTGTGGCCACCCAAAATCCTGTGTCATGCAGGAACAGAGGTGTTAGCTCTAGCATCCTGACCAGGCTCCAGTCGTCAGCAATTATCCTCTGCTGAGCCAAGAGGTGCAAGAATCATAGAATCATAGAAAGAATGTCTGCTGAAGGCACAGTTCTTCTCCCTCTCTTCCCACGAGGACTGCTGAATAGTTTTCCTAAGTGTCAGAGAACACTGTTGTACACATGTGTCAAATACAAATGCTCCGAAAGTCCTTTTCCAGTTTTGTCCCATGCTTTCTCTGTAAGTGCCACCAACCCTAGTGTCTTCTTTGCCTTGCTTGTGTCCCTGCTCCAGCATATGTCCCCGTCCATGTGACTGCGTGCTCTTTTAATCCTGGATGCATAAAAATTGGAGAGGACAAGGTGCCCAGTGCCACTATCATGTATTGGCCTTTCAGTCCAAGGCCCGTGAACCATTCACATCTGGAACTGGTCTGATCAAGTAGCGGAGTAACTCCTCACCTGTTGGTTTTGCTTTGGCCCCTTTGTCCCCAGGACGTTCAGGCCGGAGCCACCCTGGCTTTAGCAGAATGCGTGCATCATGCTGGATCATGCTGGCTTCTACAACACTTCATCTCTACCCAGAAAGGTACCAACGATGCCTCAGCCCTTGAGTAGAGATCCCAGCTACTAACAGAAATCACAGAATCGTAGCACGGTTTGAGTTGGAAGGCACCAGATCATTTGTTCAAGTCCCAATGCCATGGACAGGAACAGCTCCTGCTAGCCCAGGTTGCCTCATCCCCATCCAGCCTGGCCTTGAACTCATCCAGGGACAGGGTATCCACGGCTCCTGTAGGCAAATAACTGATCATGAGACTGATATCAACGAAAGGTGAGATTGTGCCTCTGGACAGACTAAAGCTGTGCAGAGTACTTCAGTAATTCATTACTCTGGAAGTAAAGTCTATTGTGGGAAAAGAGGTCTTTTCACAGTGGCATTAACTTCTGTACAGCCAGATCAGATAGGAAAATGGGACTTCTGCTCAGTAGGGAATGCTGTCATTTCCAAATGTGTTTGGAAATCAGCCCCCCAGCCCTCCCCCTGAAAAAAAATATATTTGTAAACACAAAATATTTTGTTTCAGTAGTATCTTGTACAAGAAAATGAAATCCAAAATTAAACAAAAACACAAAACACTGAAACAAACTGCAAAACCTAGAGCAACATGCTGGCAAAAGATTCAGTCAAATCATTGCCTTCTGCAAAATGCTTCTATTTTGGCAAAACCACATTTCTGGGGGTGCAAGCTGTTCTGCCGGAGGCTTTTGAACCTGCAGCAAGCTGTAATGGAGGCTGAGGTCAGACACTGTGTGGGAGGCTATGTTTAAAATGCTGCAGTTTGATTTCTCGTTTAAAACTCTACCAAAGGCAGTGGGGGGGCATTGGGAGCATGAAGCGCTGCGTGGCACTCTGCTGTCCTGCAGCATCTCTGTCGGGGACTGGGCAGAGCGAGGCAGCCAGGAGGTGAGTTATGTGGGGAAGCCCTACTGGTTTTCCTCTTGAAGTAAGAATACCATCTGGGCAATGATTTTAAATCTACCTCATTAATTAAACACATGCTTAGTCACATGGCAGACACGCTTGCATTAGCAGCATATCTGTGCACAGCACAGGAGGTTGCTGAGGATGCTGTGCAAAAAATGCACAAATGACATGAGTCTGCAGCTCACAAGGCACAGGGCCAGGCTGCATGCCTGTGAAATCTCCTCTGGGACAGCAGAAGGGAGAAAGTTCCTCAGACTCCCTTGGAGGTCACATGGGCTTCCGTGTGTCTGCAGACACGGATGCAACAACATCCTCTTGCACAACCAAGCCTCCACTCCTTCCCCCACTGTTGAAACTACCGCAGAAATTCCGTTGGGAAACTCCTCCGGGATGTGTCAGCTGATGGGACAGCAATCCCGGCTGTGGACAGGGGTGCTCCATCCAAGCAGAGTGAGGGGACACCCATGGAATAAACCTCTGCCGTGGTTTGATGTTAGGAGCCGGCGATATGTCGCGTGACATGCTCAGAACCCACTGCAGATGACTCAACAGCAGTAACTGGATGGCAGATGGTATCATCCTCCCTGTACCAGGCGGCATGATTTGCTATGATTCACAATTTCCAGCTTTGTTAGGATTCACAAAGGAACCTAACAGAATCGCTCAGTTTTGCAACAGGAGCCCTCACGTGTTTAGATAAAGCACACGGCGTTGGTCTGAAGATCTCAGATCTGAGTTCACTTGTATTGCCACTCTCATGCAGACTCCTCTCTGAAGCGACAGGAGTGGTGGGAGGAGCAGGGTTGGCTGTGGCAGGATGAGACCCACGCTAGGTGAACACCGGCTGGGCACCAGCACCTCCTCCAACCCTGGGTTGATGAGCTGCAAGGCTCATCAGCGGGGTTTCTTTTTTATTATTTATTTGTATTGTTTTTATCATTTGGGTCTCGTACAATTACAGAGAACTTGGTTTTCAAAATGGTTTTCAATTAAAACCTTGGATCATCAGTATCAGTTTTAGTGGCTGCATCAAATTGAATCAGTTCCTGTGTCACCACGTGCTGCGGAGCAGCTGCTTCCACTGCTCTCCTTTCTTTGCAATACTCTCGTTGTAACCCGCTGCTCTCGTGCTGTATTCCTCCAGAAGCACTTGCTCTGGCCACTTTGCAAAATAAGGAACAGGGCTAGCTGGACCCTGGAGCAGATCCCATCTGGTTTTTACCTTAGATAAGAGAAAACAGCTGTCTATGATGTGGCAGGATCTCAGGAGAGCTTTACAGCCATCCTGGGCAGCAAGCAGTAGCTACCAGCTTGATCCCGAACAGAGGCACTGAGTCTCCACAAGGAAGAGGAGACAACTCTGGGCTCAGGAGCAGCATCCACATCTCACACAGCTACACACACCTCAGCCCAGATCCTATACTGACCTGAAGGGAAGCACCAGCAAAGCTGGGGAGATGGCAGCCCCATCTCCATCCATCCTAATGTCGTTACCATTTTTCTCTTCTAAGATGCACCACTGTCACCAAGTCCGTGGGGATAAAATCCCATTAAATATTTCATTTTAATCAATCGCTTTCGGTAAGTGCCTGTTGAGGAATTCATGGCAAAATCTTCTCTCTGACAGAGAGATTTCAATTATGAAAGATGGCTAAAAATAAAAGGAAATTATACTGTTCAGACATCTCTGGAGGTGGAGACAGGAGGGGGAGCTGTCAAGGAGAGCCAGGGAAGAGATTCTGTTAGATGTACTGAAAGGCTACTTATTTTTACAGAAACAAAATGTCAAGAGGAAGCCTGACTTGAGTCTGCTGCTCACCTTCTCTATTCATAGTTCGGCCTGAAGCGTGTGGGATCTGAGCACCAGAATTAAAAGCCACAGCAATCTCTTTCCCTCACTGCAGGGAGTTGGACCACGCTCCTGAATCTTTCAGTGGCACATAAATATTTTTTTTAACATGCATTTTACTTTCTTTTTTTAAAATGAAAAATCCCAGCCTGTGACACTACAAAGAATCATTCAGTGTCATGGTTTTTTTTTTTTAAATTTTTTTGTGTGTGTGTGTGGGAGCGGCTCAGGCTGATGACCCGGGGCTCACTGCACCGTTAGTAAGTCTAGAGGACATCCTGATGTTGGTATTACATTCAGATTTTGCAGTTAAAATGACCTGGCTGAGAGCAGAGATTGTACCTTCAATCCTTCATGGACTCAGGTTCTCTTCACATGTCCTTGTGGTTTTTTTTATCCAGCCAGATCCTCCAGCAATGATAGCCTTTACCCTGTGGAGTCTCCTTGCTGAGGATGATGTCAGGTTTGATACAAAGCATGCTCACATCACAACCTGTCCAGCTTCTCAAAAGACAAAAGCTTAAGGCGTTTTTTTGTTGTTTGGATGCTTTAGTTAGCAGGCACATCTGCTGAGAACTGTGAGACTCAACCCCTGCCTGAGAACACAGCCAGACCTACGTGAATGAACACGGCTCTGGGCAGAGGTCTCCTTTTTAGGCAGGACATCTGTGCACAGTGTACCCTGCCCAAGCCATGAAGAACATCAGCGAACTGAGAGGCCCTTGATGCAAAGCAGCAGGCACGTATCCATTTGCCTAATGAAAGCTGAAATCAGCTCAGGCCCTGATGCAGTTTGGCTTCAGAGCATGTTCTCAGTGGCCTTAAATGAGATCTTGCTCTCAGCACACGCCAGCTTCCTGCAAGGAAGTGTTGCGCAAATACCAATTTGCCAAACAAAATGTGGACAACCTCCCAGAAGACGATGTCCACAGGAAATTTCAGACACACGTTTGCATCATCCCTTTAATTAAATGATGCATGCTCACTCAGTGCAACAAGCTCCCATCCTTAGTACAAATCAATTTTAATACTAAAAATAGAGAGAAAACATCAAGTTCTAGATGGGGGATGCTGGAGTTTAGGAAGTTTAATGTTCTATTCCTGTTTAGCACAAGTGCAGAAGTGCCTTCAGCACTGCATGCTCTCACTAAAACCACCACCAAGCACAGACAGGGCCCATGCAGCCTCTGATACCTCTTGTATCAGAAGTGCTGAGCCCTGAGAGTGTGCCATCTTAGTGCATGCACTTAAGCCCTGCAAGAGCTGGTGTGGGCAGCGTTGCATTTTTCTGATTGAGTTTAAAATGGACT